GTTGAGGGTTTAGGGTTTAAGCTTGCTCAAGGTTTGGTAGACCCCCCCGGCATCGGCGCAGGATCGTCCCGGAGAAACGGACCTAATGCGTTCAGACGCTTTCGCTTTCCGCGGCTGAAGCTTAGAGTTGTGACTGAGGCTATGAGTTTTTAGGTTTGGCGTGCACGATTTTTATAGGTCTTTAGGATTTGGGCTTCAGAGGGCAGGGTTGAGGGTTGAAGGTTTGGGCTTCAGAGTTCAGATTGAGGGTTAAGGTGGTAAGTACAGCAAGCATAACAGCACGGGCACTTGTAACTTGTAACAAAAAGAACACCCTCACAACAGATAGGGACTCACTCACTTGCACAGAGGCAGGTGCATCAGCATCGTCATCATAACTGTCACCATCTTATTCTTCTGATTCGTCGTGCAACACTTACTGCAGACTACATACCTAACATGGCCATGCACACATAAGGGTGCACGTGCATGCATACCTGAATCATTACATAAGTAAATAGGCGCATGAATGCATGTCCGCATACATGCATACTTACCTACGTACGCACGTACATGCACACGAACATGAAAGCCTCAGTTAGAAGATAATGCTGATGATGCTGGGGCTGCGACGGCCCATGGACGCATTGAAGGGCCGACCAGCGGAACGTCTTCGAACCCAATGCGGCAGTCGAAAATTGTTGCATGCAGAGGCGGACAAATGAGGGAGTGGATTGCACAGACAGGCGCGACAGGGCAGACGTGAGGCAATGCAGACCCGACGTTTAGTGCGGCAGCTGATCGGCCAAGCACTATGCTAGCGAGCTAATCGGAAGACAGAGGCACACCCTGGACGGGCCGCTCCTGCCCTCCATTCTAACGGGTCTAGTGTGAAACATTAGAATCATTAGAACTGATCCTGGTTGCCGCGCTGGGCTACAGTCAGGCCACCTGTCTTCCTCAGCATGGCTTAGTTGATGCTCTTGGAAGTTAGGACATCTGAGCCCGTGCAAAAACCAAGCTGACAGTTTTCAATCCACAAAAAGCAGCAGCAGCCCTTAAACCCCAAACCATAAAGCTCTAAATCCTAAGCAGCAGCAGCGGAAACCAAGCAACCAAGCAACCACCCACAAGTAACCAGCAGCAGGAACAACAAACTTGTCGACTTGGGGATGCTCCTCGGTGCAACTAGAAGTATTAACACCATAATGGTAATGAAAACAACAATAACAGTACCGATAAGCACAACAACAGTAATAATAATAATAATAATAATAATAACAATCGTCATTTCAATGATACTAATACTAATAGTAATAAGTTGCTATAGCTGCCATTGCTACGAAGATTCCTCGCTTTCTAATCGCACTCGTGTCGAAGCCTGAAGCCTGTTCCCTCCCTGCACCAAGCTCTCCAGCACCACCTGTTGCGTTCAAGAATTTGTTTGAACTGGGGTTCCCGATTGAGGGGTTCAGGCCGTTAAACGGCTTCAGGCGACTCCAGTGCTGAGAGGCAGGCCAAGCAGAGACAGAGCGACTCCCGTCAAGCGCGCAAAGCAATACTGCCCACAGAGACAGCATCACCAAACCTCCACATTAAACCTTGACAATACACCCCTAAACCCTAAACCCTAAACCCTAAACCACTGCACCCGAAGGTGCGGCGATTCGGATTCGGAAATCCTGAACTTCCCTAAACACCTATATGGGACAAGGGCAGCAAGGCCGCGAAGTGGACTTCCTCCGGAAGTTCGCGTCCATCCTCAGAAGCTGGAAGCTAGGGGGCCCGAGCTTCTAAGCTCCAGGGTTTGGGGTTTAGGGTTTAGGGTTTAGAGTTTAGGGCTTGGGGTTTAGAGTTTAGAGTTTAGGGTTCAGGATTAGGGTTTAGAGTTTAGGGTTCAGGATTAGGGTTTAGAGTTAAGGGTTCAGGGTTAGGGCTTAGGGTTCAGAAGCTCTTGAGGAATGTACACAATGGCAGGTTGGTATGTTCCGGCTTGATAGCTGAGCTGGCTACTGCACTAGCTCAGATATCGCAGAGGTGGTGACACGCAGTACCTATGCAGCACTGCCAACGAAAGCAGCAGCAACAACAAGGATGATGCAACGGGCGCTCTCACCGACACAACAGCCTTACACAAGTTCAAGAAATGCATCGAAACTGGTCATAGTACCCTGACTTCTTCAATTCCTATGAACCCGAAACGTCTACACCGTAACAACTACCGGAGCATGTCCAAGGGGCGTCTTCTTAACGATGACCGGGATGCGCGTGTTCGGGGGCATGCCGCAGTGCCTTAGCTCGCACGATCCAAAACGAGCTGCTCGGTTCTTTGCAAATCGCAAGTTGCACTTGGGCATGCTCTGCAGACGAGGCTCTTAAACACCCACAGCCTTCTGTTGTCCGCCGACACGACGCCTTCGCCTTACCGTGGTATTACGACAATTACCAACCACACCTTCTTCCACTCAGCACCCTTACCCCCAGCCTTGTCTGATCACCGAGATCGCGGGGATATCGGTGAGCTTGATGGAACCTCGTTGCGGCTTCGGGTTCAGATTTTGATGTCTAGCCTTCATGGACGATTTGTAGACGCGCGTCCAGGGTCTCGTAGTTTGAGGGCCCCTACGGTAGACGGCTGAATAAACGCAAGGACCACCATCATGATGGCTTCTGTATTCTATACTCCGCATAGCCCTCGAATGTCTGTGCTGCTTGAGCTGCATTTGCAACTCCGCTCTCATTTGATACAGCACTTCGTTGACCTATTTAACTTCGCAGGCCTAAACCGTATAAGCATGCATATACGCATGTGTACAGATACATACTTATATGTATATATGTATAAGTATGTATGTACGTATTTATATATGTATGTATACTCACATATGAATATGTACAGATGAGCAACTAAAAAACAAATGAGCCAAAAATATATACAAAGGTAGATATGTCGTAAACATATACATTTAAATATACAGAAACACATGCATATACATGTCATTCATATATATATATATA